ACTGCCTGCACAGCTAGACCCAGGTCCTCCAGGGGACAGGCTCTGTGCGATGCGCGTTACAGCCCTGGACCGACTTCGTGGCAGCAAACTAACGGTTCAGGACACGTTCGGATCGCACTGTAGAGGCCAATTATGGGAACTATTCCCTCGTCTCCCCCACCCCGGGAACATGTCAGCTCTTGGTTTCCATCCAAAACATCCACTCCTCCCAGAGGCCACCTTTTTTCTGTTAGTTGATATTTATGGGTAATAAGCCAAGCACATCAAAACCCGAGGTGAAATGCCTCTTAAAATAAATACTCTCTCCAACAAGTCAATCCATCCAGGCAGCCTGGGCTCTGCTGGCGGCAAGTGCAGGCAGGGCTGTGGGAGGGGGAGGAAGGGGTGCCCACAGCTCCCTGGGACGTTGAGGGATGGGCGCAGGGGTGGGGGTGCCGTCATGAAAAGTGGAAATGGAGCGCATCACTTTTCGGCCTCCAACTGCAGCCAGGGATGAAGCAGGTCATTTGAAAGACTGGCTCTGGAGCGGCAGAGATGACGGAGCAGTGCAGCTGCTTCTCCATCCAAGTGGGGAGGGGGACGAGTCAAGGTCACTGGGAAGCAGCAAAGCCTCCTGCCAGGATGGTGCTGGGAAAAAAGAGGAGGCACCTTGCTGGACTACACGGGGCCCCCAGAACACGGATGGGCTGACGGGTTGAGCCAGGGCTCAGCAGGTCAATGGGTCCAGCCCCCTGCCTCTTAGGGGACCGCCTCACTAAACCCATCCTCTGTCTCTCTCTGGGGGACACTCCACACAGCTTCTGCTTCCCATCCTTGGACTGTCTGCTACCTGGACACACACTCCATTGGCTGCCTCCTTTCTGGGTGGGGACATCTGGGGGCCGAGGTCTGGGTTTTCATCTCTTTTCTGAAGACGAGATTCTTGCCTGAGCTAGTAGCGGGGAGTGGGGAAGGTCTCTGTCTCAGTCACAGGCTGCCCTGAAGGTCCCCTCTGCTTCTCCAGGCCACCAAAGGCAGGAAGTTCCTCAGTTTCCTTTACTCTAGCCAGGGTGCATTGAGGCATCTGTGGAAGCAGCTCCAGTGTGTTGAGCTGGTAAGCCCTCCTCGGCCCCCAAGCTCTGTGCTACCAGGGCGACCTGGAAGCCACTTCTCTCTTCCCCCAGAGAATGGACTCACTCACACAGGAAAGGACTAGCCAGGTCCCAGCCCGCTTGGGAACGGGTGTTCAGTGAGAAGTGCAGTGTTCATGAATGAGTGAATAAATGCACAGTCCTTAAGGAGAACCCTCCTTTTGTTCATCTTTTGTATTTTCTTCTTTCTCTCCCCACCTAAAGGTTAGATCTCCTCTCTGCCCCCTTGCCCAGGTGCCACATTCTACCTGTCAATTAAGCTCTCCTCTCGGCACCAGGCCCTACTGCTCTGGACAGCACTCTCTAGAACTCCATCTTCTTTTCCTCAAATCCAATCTTGGGGAGTAGCTGAGATGGGCACTGGTAGCGATACCTGCCAATCATCCTCTATCCCACCTGGAACTGTCCATCAGCACCCCAAGATGAACAGAAGAGAAATTCTTCTGGTCTGCCTTGCAATCCCTCACAGTCATCTGTAGGGGGCCCCAGTGCTGCCCTCTGACTAGGACCCCAGACCCCTGCACTGAGGGTCCACCATGTTGGCCAAAGCTAAGACCTGGCTGAAGTAGAATATGTGATAGAAGAGGAAAGACCCCTCCCCAGATTGTCACACCCATCCCCAGCCCCAGCCCCAGGTACAGTGTTGAAGCTGGAGAATGTTGCTCCGGGCCCTTGTCAGCCAAACCCCTCTTGCAGAAGAGGCAAGAGGAAGACAAGAAGAAGGGGCCATCTTCTGCTCAAACCCCCATACTGAATTTGGGGCCCCAGAACTGCCTCTTGGGCAGTGCCCCATTCTCCAGACTTCTCTCCCTGCCCCCGCCCTCCCTCCGACTTGGAACCCTCTTCTCGGTCAGCTCTGGAAAGGAGCAGATGAGTAATTTCCGCTTATTCAACAATAATCTGATACTTGCCCCCCAAGAGATGCGGGCGGATGCTTTCAACCCTGGAGAGGCCAACGGCTTTCATCATCAAGCCAAGCCTGGCCGGTCCTGGCTGCCAGAGCACTGTAGAGAACAGTCTTCTGAGTCCCTTCTGGGCTCAATGGGAAAGAGTGCTCTGATTGATTAGTGATGTCTGCCACAGACCTGGCAGGAGAAAGTGATAGTGGGTTGGCTCCGTATTTGAGACTCCACATTTAATTCAAAAGAACTTCAGTGGAATTTCAGAAGGAATGGAAGGTGACCCCTTGTGGGTGCTGTTCTAATCACACTCGTGGGGTAAACAGAGCCTGGTTCTGACAATTCTGGATGCTTCTGCCGCTTCTTCTACTCTCCACCCAGTTGGTTAAAATGAAATGAGAGAAAAGGAGGCACTACGGTAACACAGAGAAGCACACTGGATAGATGGACGACCCTGGGCCGGACAAGTGGGCATGGATGAGTGGCCATGAAGAAGAGAAGAATGGCTGTTCTGGTCTCCTTCAAGGTGAGCCTGGAACAGTGATTCTCAGATGTGGCCGTGCATGAAATCAGTTGGGAGGCCTGAGCCCCACCCGAAGAGATGCAGGCTTCATTGGTCTGGGGTGCAGCCTGGGCTTAGGGATGTTTTGAAAGCTCCCCTGGAGATTCTAGTACACAGTCAAGGTCAAGGCCACTGGGCTGAAAGGAATCTTGAGTAATCACCTAGGACGTGCTTCTCAAACTGCAATACACACTCAGATCACCTGGGATTTGTTAAAATGCAAGCTTTGATTACACCTGGGATGGGACCCATGGGTCTACGTCTCTAAGAAGCTCTCAAGTGACACTGAAACTGCTGTGCCCAGGACGTCACTTTGAGTAGCAAGGATTTAGGCTAACAGTTCTCAAAGTTTGGTTCCTGGGACCACAGCATCAGTATCACCTGGAAAAATTTGTTAGAGACGTAGCTTCTGGGTCCTACCCACACCTACTGAGTCAGAAACTCCGGGAGTGGAGCCCGGGGGCACACTTGAGTATAGAAACCAGCGATCACTGATGGGGGACAGTCCCCTGGTCCACAGGATTCCGGCAGAAGAACCCCTGGGATGCAGTTCCCCTCCTGGCCCAGCCAGGTGAGTGGCCGGGGGTGAGAACAAGTGTGCAGGAATTAATGAGTCTATATGTCAATTTCTGGCATGGAATAAATGCACACAGTAAATGCACAAATGTCTAGTTTTCAGACCCCAAGGGAGAAGGGGGAAAAAATCCACCTGAAACACACCAGAAATGCAGAGATGAAATTCAATTCCAAACTAAAAGTACACATTATTTATCATTATCTGGAAGGAGATTGGGAGAAGGCCATTAGCAAGTATTTTCTGGCCGGTGCTGTTTTCAATAGCATGAGCAGTGAGCCAGAAGGGCTGTTGTCCTACATTTTCTCTTGCTGCATTTACGCAGCAACAGCTCCCGTGGACAGAAAGCCCCACACCACTTTCTTCCACCAGGAGTGATCTCCCATGACCTGGTGAGCAGTGAGACGGGCATCGGGGCTCAGAAGGTGCCAGCTCCGAAGGGGGAGGACCATCACATCTTCCCAACAGAATAAGTGAACACCGGCAGGGCACTGAAGACGACGCCCCCAGGAGCAGGGATCTGGGGTGGGTGCGGGATACACTCCTGGCATTTTTCCAGAGAAGCCCCGGCATCCTGAATGTACGCAGTCAACTCTAGGGGCTTGGGCTCAGCAGGGAGGGGAAGGGGCCTTGAGGGTAACTGGCCATGGCCGTCCCTGCCTGTCCCTTTCCTGGGCTGCAGGGAGGCTTTGCAGGAAAATGTGAACAAGTTACCCCTGAGACCCGTGTGGCCAAGCAGATCTGAATCTGAACTGACCTTGGAAAGCAGAGGAAGGGCTCAGAGGGGAAGCAGCCGGTTATATGTACAGAAGAATAAGTCTGAACTGTAAACAGGACAAAGCTGAGAGAGGAAAGGAAGGGAAGATGAGGGAGGTCAGGCAAGAAGGGCTGATTCTAGGGGTGCCTGGGTGGCCCAATCTGTTAAGCGTCTGACTCTTGATTTCGGCTCAGGTCGTGATCTCACAGTTTCTGAGTTCGAGCCCCTCATCGGGCTTTATGCGGACAGTGCAGAGCCTGCTTGCGGTTCTCTCTCTCTCCTTCTTTCTCTGCCTCTCCCTGCTTATGTGTGCACTCTCTCTCTCTCTCGAAATAAATAAATAAGATTAAAAGAAAAACAGAGGGGCTGATTCTACCCCCAAAGGATCCCAGCCAAAGGCACCATTAGAGGATAGTCCATCTGGGGAGAGAGAGGGTTTACATTTCCCTACAGATGCTAAGTGAGATGGCAGTGACTGACATCTCGGTCCCCAGGCCCCCCACGAGGAAGATTAGAAGTAATCAGGCATCCCAACCAGAGAATAAAGTAGAGGGTTTTCACTAGGAACTTTTGGTCAGACAATCATGGATTCAAATCAGACTCCCCCATTCATCAGCTGTGTGCTTTTGGACAAGTCAAATAACCTCTCTGTGCCTCATTTTCTTATCTGTAAAATGGGGAAAATAATTGCCTTTCACACGGGGTTTGTAAAGCACTTAGCGGGGTGCCTGGCACAAAGTGGGCACCTAATAATGGAGGCTGAACTGAGTGTATGCAACTCGCCCCCCTTCATCCCACAGCCGCTCCCGGTCAGCTGGAGTCTCCATGCTTCCTTTAGGAGGGGCTTCCTCCCTCCTTTCTGTGTCAGTGTGGAGGGGGTAAGGGAGAGAAAGGGAAGGGAAGGGGAGAACCGGGGTAGGAGGAAGGAGAAGGGACAGAGCAGAGAGAGCTGACCGCAGGCATAAGGCCCTGGAAAGGCCGGACACAGCCCCCCAGGGCCATGGCACCGGACGTGAGTCTCAGCCCACTGCTGGCCACCACCCTTCCTTCCCTCCCTCCTCGCAAAATTCAGGCTTACCCTGAATCCTGGGCCAGTGAGGATGTCCAGCTGGCTGGGCTAGTGGGGGGTGGAGGTGGGTTGTGGGGGGGAGGGGGGAGGTGCCTGAAGCAAGAGAGCACTGCATCTGCCGTGGGGAGCACTGAGGCCACAATAAGAATGAGAGAGGGTCCCTGCTCCTGAGTGCATCTTGTCGAGCTGCTGTAGATGTGCATGTCCCTCTTTAATCGGGACCAAGAACACCCCAGCTACTGGAGACACCCGGCTCCACGACACAGGCTATATTTCTCTTCCTCATGCTTTCCATGTATCTGAAAAGCCGGTGGCTCCTGGGTCCCCTGAGGCTTCCACCTTCATATTGCCTTGTTCGTCCATAAACTCCATTACATGAAATAGGCCGAGTGAGCCTCTGGGCCTTGAGAACCTGTCCTGGGCTGCAGGTCAGTCCCTTAAAACGCCATTATGAGGACAGAATGAAAACCAAGCAGCAAACACTGAAGAGCTGGAGGTGACCAGCAAACTCAAGCAAATGGACCATCTGGCAGACTGGCAAGATCAACGGGATTTGGGGGAGGTGGGCAGCCCCTCCCCTCTGGGCCCCTCCTGAGCCCCGGGTTGCCGCTGAGGTGCCCTGGGAAAAGCCTGGAGCTGCTGAGCCTCGCCCACCGGCTCTCCAGGGGCCATGGGTGTGCTCCCGTCCTGGCGCAACCCTCAGAGCCCACCAGCTCTCAGTGGGTCCTTAATGCTGGCTTCCCGGCTACCTCTTCGTTCCCACCATAGATCTACACCCCATATTCAGGCCACTGACGAAGCTCAGAAAAGACCCGGGAGCTTAGCAGAGTGGAGAGGGGAAGGAAGAGGCTCAGCGGTAGCGAATACTGTCGCACTTGTGCTGTGTGGTGACCCATCTCTGCCTAGCTAAGCCACCTGAGCAGCGGATGCCCATCCCCACCTCTGCCTGCCCACCTGGGTGGGGCGCAACCACTGTTCTATGGGTTCTGTTGCTTTTCTAAGATAGCACTTTGGTACCTACTACTGTTCTTCGCTATTAGTCCCGAGGGTCTCCGGCTCCAGCCAGCTGGTGTCCCTAATAATTGGTAAAATATTAGGTACCAATAATTCGCTTCTGCTCTCCTGAGCTCTGACTCTGAGGGGCAGGAGCACGCAAAGGTCTAGGATGCCTTAAGAATATACACCAGAAGACCCCACTTACCCTAACCTAGGTGCCCAGGCTCCAGCTCCCGCCCCGAGGTCCGACCTGCATTTACCGAGGGTGGACGCGGCCGCCTTGTTGACGAGTGTCACGAAACCATTTCAGCCCTTCAGGCCTTGTTCAGCTTCGCTTAAGCGGGGTGGATGCTGTCAGCTCTCTCGATATTCTCCCTGCGATGGCTAATTTCATGTGTCAACTTGACCGGGCCAAGGGCTACCCGGAGAGCTGGCGAAGCGCTCCTTCTAGGTGTGTCTGTCAGGTGAGCATTTGATGCAGCTGATTGGGTGAAGAGATGCGCCCTCACCCACATGGCCAGGTGCCATTCAGCCCGTCAAGGACCGAGTGGAACAGAAAGGGGGAGAAGGGATGCCCACCCTCTCCTGCCCTTGGACTTTGGAGCTCCGGGACCAGAACTGAACTAGACCACCAGTTTTCCTGGTTTCTCCGGCCCGCAGGTGGTGAATCGTGGGACTTCTCGTCCTCCGGAACCACATGAGCCGCTTCCCGTAAATCTCCTCTTATGTATATGAACTCTCCTCTTGGTTCTGTTTCTCCTCCTTTCCTGTTTCTTGCCACACTATGTGCTCCTATTTTCACCCCTCTGGCTGTTCCTTTCTAGTTGCCTTTAAAAAAACAAAAAGTTGGGGGCATCTGGGAGGCTCAGTTGGCTGAGCGTCCAACTCTTGATTTCAGCTCAGGTCATGATGTTGTGGTTCGTGAGATCAAGCCCCGCACTGGGCTCTGGATGACCTTGGGCTCTGGACTGATAGTGACAGTGCTAGCCTGCTGGGGGACTCTCTCCCTCCCTCTCTCACTGCCCCTCCCCTGCTTGTGCTCTCTCTGTCTCTCTCTCTCAAAATAAAAATAAATAAACATTTTTTAAAAGACTGTTGTTGTGATGTTGTTGGTATTTAATCGAGGTGTCATTTAAATATAAAATTCACGGGGCGCCCGGGTGGCTTAGTCGGTTAAGCGTCCGACTTTCGCTCAGGTCATGATCTCGCGGTTCGTGGGTTCGAGCCCCGCGTCGGGCTCTGTGCTGACTGCCAGCTCAGAACCTGGAGCCTGTTTCAGTCTGTGACTCCCTCTCTCTCTCTGCCCCTCCCCTGCTCACGCTGTCTCTCTCTCTCTCATCGGAAGGACATACNCGGGCTCTGTGCTGACTGCCAGCTCAGAGCCTGGAGCCTGTTTCAGAGTCTGTGACTCCCTCTCTCTCTGACCCTCCCCTGCTCACGCTGTCTCTCTCTCTCTCTCTCCTAGAAATAAATAAAACATTAAAAAAAATTTTTTATAAATAATAAATAAATAAATAAATAAATATAAAATTCACCAGATGACCTGCTTGGCCTAGACCCTTCACCTGGGCTCCAGGACTTCGAACTTAGGAGTGTCTTCAGCTCCACTCATCAGCCGGGCTCCTCTTCTACATCCCCGGCCTGAGTGGATGGCGCCTTCGCCCACCCGGTGCCCAAGCCAGGTACCCCTGAGCTGTGGTTTGCCCTGCTTACCAGACCTAAAATCCGAGCCCAGCTCTCCCACCTCTCTTGTTAAAGTCACAACCATGGCCCCGAGCTGGGCTTTGTGAGTGCTTCCATTTAATCTCCCATCCCGCACTCCTGGCCACCCGACCTGGCCACCAACGGCATCGAAGACACGCACCTGAGTGTGCCATGCCCAGCATAAAATCCTTCGGTGGCCCCTCGGACCTGGGATAATGCCAGTCCCCTTGATGGGGTTCACAAAGCTCTGTTCCCAGGGGCTCTGTGCTGACCTTTCTTGTGACCTTTAAAGGCAGTGGTGGCGGGTGGTCCCGGCCTCATCCCAAGGACACTCAGCCAGACCCTTGTTTAGAAAAGGAAAGAAAGACTCAGGAAGGATTCAGGGGAACCACCAGGTCCCCCTTCTGCTTCATATTGTCCCCATCAATCAGTCTATTTCTGAACCGAATGAGCTGATGGCGTGAGCACCGGGCATCAATGGCTCCAAGCTTCAGAGACAGACAGGACAGGCCTCTGGGACCAGCATCTCCCAGCACCTCCCTTCCTACATCTGGGCATGGAGACAAACAGGCAGTTTACCTTCTCATTTGTCAGTTGTCTTGAGAGAGAGAGAGAGAGAGACAGCAGCTGGTTTTGCGTCTCCAATGGGTTAAAAAAAAAAAAGGCAATTCCATCTATTTACAAAATAGGATTACAGTTTTTGCAGAATCCTGTTGGGGCCTGGGGGAAACTTTGAAAATACATTCATTTTGTTTCATCCTTATCAGAGCTGCCTTCTCTCCCTTCCCCCACGCTGGCCACCGGGCAGTGAGCGGATTGCCTTTGCCCATCCCCTTGGGAGGCGCCACTGACCTTCCTGGCCACCAAGATCTAGACGGCCACATCCTTGGTCCAGAAAGCACCCCTCTGGAGACATAGAAGCATCAGCAATCTCAGAGGAGCAGGCCCACTGGTTGGCCCATTTCCCCAAGACCTTAGCAGAGCACCCAACCTACAACCTGGGAAGAATGCATCTCCCTCCCAGATCCTCTGGGTCGGCACGACAAAGGGAAGAAAAGCCAAAGCAACGCAAGGACAAGGGACTCAAGCTATTGGGAACGGTGCTTGGGCTCCCCTAATGACAAACGTGTTGAGCAAGTTGCTGTGGAGCATCTAATCTTGATGCAGAGCCTCTCCTCCCTGCACCAGAAGGGGGACAAACCATAGCTGGGCAGGGGATCAATTCCTAACGCACTTTGTTCACTGAATAGGAAAATCTCAGTCCAAGTCTGTCCTTTCCTGTCTTCTACTAACTTTGCCAGTCCCCCTACCGTCCCTCTTGTGAGGGGTCGGCTCTGCATGGTGAGGTGGGGTCGCGGTCTGGAAGGTGAGCAGAAGAAGGCAGATGGCCCTTTGGGCTGGGCCAGGCCTCTTAATTCAGTTTATGTGGGGTGGGGGGCGTGGCAGGTACAGGATCCAAGAAATCACAGCTTTGTAGAGGCTTTAGAAAGCATCGGTTTCAACCACCTTATTTTATGCCTTAGGAGAATACATTCCAGAGAGGTTGAGGCCTTGACCAAGGTCATTAGCTTCCCAGTGGCAGAGCTAGCCTATAAAGAGGCTAAATGAATAGGGATGCCGGGTGTCCCGTGCGCAGGCGACATCCAGACAGCAAGGAAGCCGCTTCTGCTTCCGCGGCTCCTTGGATTTTGTCGCCTGAGGTCGAGAGAAGAGCTTTTCCAGGGATAATGGCTCATAACTCAGGCGCTAAAGTAATGGAAGCCGGGAAGATCACCTCCTGACTCTAAATCTCTAGGGTGGCGAGAGAAGAGAAGTAATGGGGGCCTCCAATGTCTCTGCAACAAATCCACAGAAAAGTGTTTCAGAACTAATCGCCTCCTCAAAGGGGGGAGGAGGGTGGGGAGGAGGGGCTGCCCTTCAGATGGTAAATCTCTCTATTACCAAGGACAGTTCCTTTACTGCCAATTTTCAGGCTCTTCCTGGCTACAGCCAGAGGCGCTTCTCTCTGGCTCCTGAGCCCAAGCAGTTCTGCCCCTTTGGTGCAGGGAGGCGGCGAGACCAGAGGGGATCCAGGAGGGCCTGAAGCCCCCTGCCCATGCCACCCCCAACCTAAAGTTGCCAGACTTAGCAGATAAAGATACAGGATGCGCAGATACTCTGGAAAATAGCTTTAATTGCATAACTTTTGTAACGTTTGCGGGGGGAAGCTGGACATAGGATGTTTAGGCTGTTCGGACAGAGTCAATACGGGTCATAGAATAAAACCATTAGCATAGAACATGCCCTGTATACCCATGTACATACCCGGCAATGTTCCCAAACCTTTAGTTCCAAGCAGGCATGTAGAAGAGTGTCCTGACC